TACAGTGACTTTGTCACTGAACAACATTACATGGTACACAAAAACATTTTTCTACACCCTACTTTGGTGAGCTGGACTATATGAAGAAAAACGTGGCATCAGGATTGGAGGAAGAATCATTAACAACCTGAGATATGCAGATGATACAACTTTGCTTGCTGAAAGTGAGGATGACTTGAGGTACTTACTGATGAAGGCTGAAGAATACAGTCTGCAGTATGGATTACATCTCAATATAAAGAAAACAAAAATCCTCACAACTGGACCAATGAGCAGCATCACAATAAATGGAGAGAAGATTGATGTTGTCAAAGAATTCACATTGCTTGGTTCTACCATTGAGGCCAATGGAAGCAGCAGTCAGGACATTAGACGACGTGTAGCATTGGGGAAGTCAACCGCGAAGGAACTATTTCAAGTGCTGAGGAGCAAGGATGTCTCCTTGGGGACTAAGGTGCGCCTGACACAAGCCATGATATTTCCAATCACCTCGTATGCATGTGAGAGCTGGAGAAGGAAGACCTAAGAAGAGTTGATGCTTTTGAGTTGTGGTGCTGGTGAAGAATGCTGAAAGTACCATGGACTGCTAAAAGAACCAACAGATCTGTCCTGGAGGAAGTGCACCCGAAATGGTCCTTGGAAGTGAGAATGGCCAGATTTTGTCTCACCTATTTTGGTCATGTTGTCAGAAGGGACCATTCCCTGGAGAAGGATGTCAAGCTTGGTAGGGTGGCAGGTCAATGAAAAGGGGGAGGCCTTCAACGAGATGGACTGACACAGTGGCTGCGATGATGGGCTCAAGTATAGCAGGGACATGGAGCTGGCACGGGATCGGGCAGTGTTTCATTCTGCTGTGCACGGGGTCGCTATGAGTCGGAAACGACTCAATGGCACCTAACAACAACAACAACAACAACTTTGGTGAGTAGCAACAGGGATCTTAAAAGCTTGCAAGCAACCATCTAAGATTTAAATGTGGGTGTCTCCTCATCTGGAGCAAAGAAGAGTGAAGAAAATCAAAGACACATGGAAATAATCAGTCTAGGAGACTAGTGGACCATGGGGATCTCAGCCTACATGACCCTGAGACAGAAGAACTAGATGGTGCCTGGCTACCACTGCCAACCACTCAGAAAGGGATCAAAATTGGAGATCCTAGAAGAGATCTCTGGTAGTGTAGCGCCTAAGGCAGTTGACTGCTAACCAGAAGGCTGGTGGTTCAAATCCACCAGCCACTCCTCTCAAGGGAGATTGGGCAATCTACTTCCGTAGAAATACCCCCTCAGAAACCCAAGGGGGGGGGTCACTATGAGTTGGAATCGACTCGATGGCAGTGAGTTTGGTTTGTTTTTGGACAGACTGGGAAAAAATTTAAAACATAACTCAAAATTATAAAGAAAGACGAGGCTTACTGGTGTGATAGAGACTGATGAAACCCCCAAAACTACAGCCCCTAGTCACTCTTTGATCTGAGTATTGAACTCACTTCCATGGCTTACTTTCAGACAAACAATAGACAGGCCTATGAAGTGAACAATTACACCAGACAGGTAGACTACTTAATACAATCAACCATGGGGGATCAGAAGGACAATATTTGCACAGGGAGAAAGTTCAGAGGGCAGGAATGTATAGGAAAAAAAGCCACAGGGAAAAGGTAACCACAGGGAGGCAGTGGGGAGAGAACTGTTATAATGCAATCAATGTCATAAAACAAAATGTATGTAAGCTGTTGAACGGAAAACAAATTTGCTCTGTAAACTTTCACCCAAATCACAATAAAAAGTTAAAACTCTGTATATTGGATCATATTAAACACACATCTCTGCCTCTTGCTTTTCTCACTTATCTAACCTCGTGGAAACCCCTGGGAGATCTAATTCACTCTTTTTAACACCTACACTGCATTCCCCTTCCCCACCCCACACATGCTGTATCCTTTCACCTGGCCCACCTCTACCTCCACTGCCCTTATTTGTTTTATTCATTAGAGAGTCTGATGGTGGAAATTGCAGGCCAAGTGGAGGAAAAGGGCAGCAGGTGGCAATTAGCAGAGTTTCTGGCTGGGTCTTGCCCACCCCCTTAGCTGAGCCCTCAGCCCCAGTGCAGAAATGCTGTGTTATTGTGAAATCATTTGCACATTGTGAAGTGCTTTGCATATGATGGATTGATTTGCATACTGGGAGGGGGCATCTCAGCAGTCCCAGAGCAGCACTCCTGGGTGTCTTTCCTCCCTTTGAAAAGAAACCAACTCCCAGGAGGAGGGCTTCCATACCAAAAATTCAGGGAGGGGCCCAGGGGCATCCTGGCTGCCTAATGGGCCTGTGGGGTGAGGCAGACTATGGCTTTGAGGACAAACTCGGCTGACCTGGAAGGAGTTTGGGGTCTGGGAAGGGCAGACGTTGGGGTGTGAGGTAGATCACCAGGTCCAGCATGTGAGAGCTGAGTCCCTTTAAAGCCCCCAATAGGGGGAGAACACAGGACAGGAGCTGCCAGAGGCGACAGTGTGGCTCCGAGGCCTGGAGACCCTCACTTCTGCACAGTTTCTGCCCAAGTGAGTACTCTGGTGCCCTTCTTAAGCATTCTCTGGTCCTGGCTGATTCCCAGAGGATGCTCAGGCAGATTCTGGCTGCCATTCAGGCCCAAGAAGTGAGAGTGGTAGGGCATGCTGTGGGTTTAGGAGCACACAGGTGTGACTCCTTACCCTGCCATCTGCTGCCATTGTGTGACCTCAATGTGATATTATGAGGATTAAGTGAGATCATTCAAGTAGCAAGAGAAGCAAGTAATAGATGTCCAGTAAGTGACAGTTATAACAATAATTGCTACTGTTGGCTGCCATAGTCTGAGAGAAGAGGCCAGGCCTAGCTAGTTCAGGTGAAGGGAGCACATAGCTGGAGCTCCCCAGGGTTTGGAGTTCCCGGCAGCAGGGTCCAGCCATCAAGCATTGGACCCCAAAGGGTTACAAGTCCTGGAGACAGCAGCCTGAGGTCCCCAGTGAGAAACCAAAGCATAAAAATAATTCGATGAGTAAGAATAAAATTCCCTCTTCTGAGGTTCCCGGGGCCACGCCCCTCCCTGCGGCAGGAACTTCCCCTTTCCTTATATTCACGGAGGAGCCAGGCCCGGCTGACTCAGAGCAGGAGCGCCGCAGTCATCCTCCCCGCCCCGGACCCCAACGCGACCCGGCCCAGGGCGGAGCTGTCTGGCAGCCGGGCGCGCCCCCGTGCGGCCACGGTAGGGACTGCAGCCAGGGACGGGAAGCGGCGGCCAGAGCCGCAAGCCTAGCCGCCCGGCCGATGGCGGTCCCCGCGGGGCTGCCGCCTCCGCCCTGCCAGCTTGGCTGAGCGCAGTGACCTCGGGCTCCCACTTCCCGCCAGCCCGGCTCCGGCGGAAGTGCGCCGCTGCCCGGGTCCCACATGAGCGCGAGGCGGAAGCGCGCTCCGGCCACCGCTCCCCTCGGCCCGCGCCGCGCGGCGCGACGGGTTCCGGACAGAACCCGT